AAAGCCAAAGGTTGCTGGTTTGATTCCCTGTCAGGGCACATGCCTGGGTTTCAGGTTCGGTTCCTGGTCGGGGCACATGTACAAGAGGCAACTGACTGATGTTTCTCTCTTACATCAATGTTTCTCTCCCTCTCTCCCTCCCATCCCCTCTGTTTAAAAATTAATAAATAAAATCTTTAAAATAGACTTTAAAGATTTTTAAAAATATTATTTATCATAGATTTTCTTGAAGGGACCCAGGGCCACCCCCCCACACACACTTTTTCAGCGCCACACTGCTCCACAGAGGCCTCACTGTGTCCTCCACCTCCTCTGCTGGGCACGTGCTATCTTGTCATTGTCCCCTTCCAAAGGTTCCTGTCTCATCTAGTCAGTCCCTACTGTGTTCAGCCCCCATAAGAAGCAGAATCTGGGTGTCTCTCTGCTTTTTTCCTCTTGAAAAACACCTGTCTGGAATTCTGGTGAATGAATTTCTCTACTTGATTATAAAGATAATAAAAATCACTCAGTGCATAGCAGATACTCAATAATGGTAGATAATCTCATAGTACCCACCTCAGAAAATGGGTAAATACATACAAAATCCTTATAACCCTGCTGGCACTTGATAAGCCCTGCCTGCAGGTTGGCTCCTATTCATGTGGTGGCAGAAAAGGGAGCCCAGTGTGTGAGGTCGTCATCACCTGTCAGCAAGAGAAGCTGCCGACAACTTTGGGTCCAGTTGACCATGAGGGGAGTCCCCTCGAAACGGATCATCTTTGGCTTTCTTCAGAACTTTAGAGTGCTCCCCTTTAAGTATGCAAATGTAAGGTGAATAGACACACATGTCCCTAGGAAAATGACATGGCAGGACCTTTTACAGCTTGACAAAAGCTGCTGTTCTCAGCATCCCCATAATAGGGGATGGGGACCAGTAGACCTGTGCTGGCATTGAGGAGCCTCTGAGAAGGGGAAAGACTGAGGGCCCTTTCCTTGTGAGAGTCTGTGTCACCAGGGCCTCTCTGCAAGACTCGTTCCATCCTGGCTGCTGTGCTGACAGAACAGGAAGCAGTTCCAAGAGGGAGCTCCCGGAGAAGAAAGCAGCCCCAGACTAGTGGTGGCAGGGTCCGGGCCGGGGCCACAGAGCCCACCAGTGGGCTCGCCACTTGCAGCTTCTGAAAGGGACACAAGAACATGTGGGGAATGTTTCAGGCCTCATGCCTGGCACCCGCACTGTCTGGAGTGACCAAGAAGGGCCAGACACGGGGAGTCTGAGACTCTCTCCTCTTCCCACCTTCTTCCCAGCAGTGACTCCACGGCGAGAAGTCATGGAGAGTTGGCCACAGCTTTTTGAGGGCCGGCAACCCTTCGAACAAGGCTGTTCAGGGCCGTGCCAGGCAGGAGCGTGCTCTTCCTTAGGATGTGTCGTGGTTTCACTCTGCCCTTCCAACACTTGGAATCATAGCACTCGAAAAATGGAAAATCAAGCCCTGCCCAAGGCTCTGTCTCCCCCGCCCCCACTTTCTATTCATAGAGTAATGCTGTAGAATGAAAACTTTCTGAGAGTTAAATCCAAATGGTTTTGTTTTGTTTTGTTTTCAGAGGTGGGGAGAACTGACCTTTATCTAGAATACTGAGCAAACTGTAGAAGCTGGCAAACAAATCCTCCCCCCACTCCCAGACTTCTAACTGCAGAGAGAAGGCTGACCTACGTTTTGACTTGTCAACCTATTATTTGTTACTACAGCCATCACCATATAAACACAGCACCACCCCTTTATTGCCTACACCTCCTTTTTTCTCCCTCTTGAGCACTGTCAAGAGTTAGGAGAAGAAAGCATGTTACCTGTGTTCCACCTAAGCATGTAAGAAGGACAGATGGCAACAGGGCAGTGCGGGAAGGGGAAGTAACCTTCATCTCTACAGTGAGACAGTTTTGAAATCCTTCACCCCAGACTGGCCGTGTGACCTTGGAGAAGTTACTCAATGTCTCTGAGCCTGCAGTTCCTCAAAGAAAAGTGGGGAATGATGGTAAATGCAACTCCTGGACTATCTGGAGGATTCGATGCGTTAACAGGTGGCAGGTCCTCCTGCGATGGCCATAGTGAAGGGTGTGTGTGTGAGCCTGAGAACGACCTTTCAGCGGGGCCTCCTGAAAGCCTGAGGGGCTCATTCCCCAGACTCCCCGGCACTTCCTTTATAATCATATTTCACCGTAACTGCCTGGAGTGTGTTCCAACAGAGGTTTCTCATGTTCAGAACACCCTCTCTTAACAGCTTACATCCTCAGGCTGCTCTCCAGTAGGGGACCCAGCAAAGGCTTCTGGGTAGGAACCATTCACTCTTCCCCTAAGTGCTGCCTTTGCTTTGAGACAGGAGGCAGGCCCAGCTAACAGCAATTAAAAAGAACACTTCAGCACTTGGTATTGTTCCTACAGGACCCTTAGGCTCCACGCGTCTGGGGAAATGGTGGGAGAAAGAGAAAACTCCCTCTTGTTCTTCCCGACGGGTTACATTCCAAAGGGAGGACTCAACCCTTTGCCTACCCTTTCCCTTGCTTTACCTCTTGTTTCTGCTCTCTGCCGTTCTTCTCATTTCTGTTCTCATCTCCTAACATCGACAGCTCTTTCTAAGTATTCTGGTACCAAGCACTCCACAGAGAACGCTATGTTACCCTAGCTTATAAAAAGATTATTATAATATTTTGAGGCAGAAAGTACGAGGCCAACGTAATGTTTTTACTATTTTTTACAAAACCTTTATTCTTTTTGATGAATAAAGTGCTATATGTTTGTTGTGTGGGAAACGTGTGTAGAGCATAAATGCCCTTCATTCTCATTCGGTCCCTCCAATCCTATTCCCCGGAGGTGACGGCCACTTAACATGCATTCTTCTAGAAATTTCTGTCACTTTTGGCCATTTGTCAGATATATAGGGATTGCCTACTATGTTCTGGGCAGTGTGCTAGGTAGGTGCTGGGACCAGCGGTGAACAAACAAATCTATCTACATATATGCTAATGTGTGTTTACTGTTACACAGGGGGGTCTGTCTGGAAAAAGTCCAGCCATTGTTAACATAATGAGAACGATTTGTATGACATCGATGTAACCTCGCAGCCAAGGACAGTGGATTGGAATAACGACTTCACTGCACCAGTCAATGGGAGTGGTAGATGCTGTTGAGTGAGCATGTGGCCATCACATTCAAAATGACTGAGGGTGGAGAGCAACAGATCTGTATCAAACTTTTCATTAAGTTTGAACATTCATCTGCAGAAACTATTTGGATGATTCAGAAGGCTGCAGCTACAGGCAACTGGTGATTGGCAGCTTCATCGCGATAGCGTCCCCCTCATGCAGCATATCTCGTGCAGAGTTTTTGGACGAAACTGCAAATCACCCAAGTGACTCAGCCCCCCTACAGCCCAGATTTGGAACCCTGTGAATTCTGGCTTTTCCCAAAACTAAAATCACCTTTGAAAGGGAAGAGATTTCAGACCATGGATGAGATTCAGAAAAATACAGCGGGGCAGCTGATGACGAGTGGGAGAACTGTGCGAGGTCCCAAGATGCTCACTTTGAGGGGCACTGAGGCATCATTGTTATGTGCACAATGTTTCTTGTTTCTTGTTCAATAAATGCCTCTTTTTCATAGCGCATGGCTGGATACTTTCTGGACAGACCTCACCTACATTGGCAAAGATGAGATAATGTTTTTCATTAAATAATATTCACTTTACCATGATAGTTTGTAGAAAGAAATAGATACGTAAGTAATGTTTATTATTTTTAACAGCTGTGTGATATTCGATTGTAAAGGTATATCAAAACGTAGATGACCTGAACATGCTCTTTAAAAATAAGCAGCGTTCCTTCTATTTGCAGAACACAGAGCCACCCACTTCACAGGGCTCCCTGGAACAGAGCCCCGCAGCCTGGCTGGGGGTGCCCTAGGGTCTCTCCCCCACACGAAGGTGGGCAGACAGCCAGCTCTAGGAGCACAGTGCGCCTGCCCAGGACCCCTATGTGGTGCCCAGCTGGCCAGTGGCACAACTGACCTCACACGCGAGCCCTCTGACTCCAGAGCTCCAGCCACCGCAGCCTCCATGACACTGCGCTGCCCCCTCATCCTGTGCTGGGCACCTCCTTCAGCAAAGAACTCTGTAGGCTACTGATTGAAAAGGACAGGGAGGGGAAAATAAGCTTGAGGTCACGAAAACTGCACAAGCATGTATGTGTGTATTTTTTGTTTCTTACTTTGTTTTTTTGAATTGATTGATTTGAGAGAGAGAAACATTGATTTGCTGTTCCACTCATTTATGAATTCATTGATTGATTCTTGTATGTGCTCTGACCAGGGGGGGATCAAACTCGCAACCTTGGCATATCAGGACTACACTGTAACCAACTGAGCTACCCAGCCAGGGCTGTGTTTTCTTAAAAGTAGTCATTTCTTCATGTCTGTCAATGGGGCAGAATATATGTGTGTTTGCATACGTGTGTGCATGTGTGTGTATATATATATATATATATATATATATATGTGTGCCTGCTCACAGGGTGATACGTTAAGGGCAGCAAATGGTGATGTTTTAAGAGCAGTTAGAAATATTAAGAAGCTCTTGCTTTATACTCCTCCCCACTCTATGTCCCCAATCTCCTCAGAACTGCTAATGAATAACCGATTTTAACACCCAAGTCCGATGCCCTCCCCTGGCACCTCCCAGGCTGGGGTGCTGCCATAAAACACTGAAGTCCAGGGCCCCGGACGTTCCCCAGCAAATAGTCAGCTGGGTGATGAAAACAAAAATGCAGCCTAATTGGTCAGTGGCCTTTTCTTGTGAATGAAGGAGGTTTCTGTTTTAAGAAATAAAGTGACTTCTCAGCTGTTGATTCACTGCCCACAGGGATATTTTAGAGCTGAGGCTTCCTAGCCTCGGTAGCAATTTGCATACAACTTCCACTTCCTGCTTCGGAGCCTGTTCTGCTGCTTACCTGGGCCCGGAGAGGGTGGAGGGCGGCAGGAGTGGCCCGGGGCAGAGTGACAGGGGACGGAGGGAGCACGACCACCCCGTGGCCAAGGTCTGCCCGCTGTGGTGTGAAGGTAAGTTGTCCAGACTTTTGCCTCCCTAGCCTTACTTCTGAACCACTGACCCACTTTCGGAACAGGCTGTTTTTCACTTTTACTGAAATCTTCTGCCTTACTTTCCTCCACCTCCCTCTCCCCACTTCTAACTTGTTCTCGTAGAGACCAGCTTGGGCTGAGAAAATGACAGTTAAGTGTCTGCCTCGAGAAAGAGAAAGTGTTGATGGTTTAGTACTTCAGACACGCTAGTGGAGATTAACTCTTTGCGGGGCAGAGGCGCCCACACTGGAGCGGGGCGGTTCAGTGCTGCCTGGGAACCATTTGTTTGAGGACTTAGTGTCCCCACAAGTTTGGATGAAGAATTCAAGCCCCACTTCCCCAAGGAAGGAGCCCAGGCTGGCAAAGATTGAGTAATTGGCTTCCAGCCCCAGAATTCGTCAGTAGCAGAGGTGGAAAGGCGAACTCCCAAGTTTACTTGATCCCTGTTTCATGCAGAGAAAAAATTAACACTCCATTCTTGGGCCAGAAATTCAGCTCAGCTCGGAGCCGGCTGTGGGCGGCCACCTCAGGCCCCTCCAGCTGTCCTTCCCTCCCACAGCCCCAGACATTCGCTGGCACTGGACAGAGCCCTTAGGGAAAATGAGGGGAAAATGTTACTTATCGTAAAAGGTCATCATGCTTCATGTATCTTTTAAGTTCAAGATGATCTCTTAAAATAGGGGGATATTTTTAAATGAGGAGGAAAAAGGAGACCAAATATTTTTAAAAAGAGGACAAGACACTTGGTTTCAAGTTCCCACTCCACTTCTTTGCTGGCTCTGAGACTTAGGCAATTCACTTTGGTTTCCCTAAGCCTGGATTTCTTCATTAATAAAATGTGTGGGGGGTGAGGGGGTGGTGGTGAACTAACGCCATGCTATCTGAATTCCTTTCTAAGGAAATAAGGCTCGGGTAATGGGAGTCCCAGAGGGGAGCCATAATGGGTGGTCTTAGAAGACTTGTTTTGTTTACTGACTTTTCAAATATATTAATTTTACCTCCTGCTGCTAGATGGTTAGTCCCTGGAGGAAAAGGACATTGTTTCTTAATTCTTTTCTACCCACTGGCCCCCCAGTATACTGTCAAACACCTCTAGGTGCCCAGGACCCTTTTCACATAGGCTGCCCTGATTTCTCTTTCACTCATCTGCTCTCAAGGCGAAAGGTAAACTAATAGTCGGAGCAGGAGGCTGAGGAAAGCTGGGCAGCCACATGGCTCTGCGGGAGGGCTGCCTGGAATTTAGGCAGGATTCCTGGCTCCGGCTGAATAGGAGAAAATGGGGCTTTCTTGAATTAGTTCATATCCCGTTTGGGTCACGCAGGAAGAACTCTCCAGTGCACATGTCCAGAGTCAAGGCAGGCCAGAGAGCTGGCAGGCAAGCCTGGCTCCAGAGAAGCCTGCATTACAGACTTTGCTGGAGCTGGAAACCACTCCCCGACTAGACCAATCACTGTGGGGGGGCCCCCCATGGGAGTGAAAAGGGGCTGGGAGGCACAGCCCAATACCGCGTAAGGGCGGTGACTAGGACTGGACACATTATCAGATGGCAGACACACAGAATCCTTAACCTTTTAACCAAACCACTGTTTTTTGTTTTTGTCATTATTGCTTCTTTTGGGCAGTTACTCTCTGTCGGTTCAGTTCAAATAGGCCTTGACAGACTGGGATGGGCTGACTCAGGGCTCTTGGTATTGCTAAACTGTTTCTGTGGAATATGGAGGCCTGGTATGGTCCTCATCATGTTTTTAGATGGCTCTCGGTAGGCCCCTGGGATGAGAGGTCAGGGATTTCGAGATGTTTCACTCGTGATGGGTTACTGATTTTATTTTCAAATGTTGGTGCACCATTATCTGAAATCAGGGGAACTGTTGTTTGGCTGCCAGCCTAGTTTTGATCCAGAAAGACCACCCACAGTCACTCTTGGTCTGGTGCTGCAGCTCCTGGTCGTTCCATGATGGAACATGATGAGCTAGACACCACGGTAACTGCTCTGCTCCTTGTGTGGGGCGGGCTAACGGGAAGCGGAGTCTGGGCAGGGAACCCGCGTGTCGGGGAGGCTCACTTCCGGAGGGTGCAGAGGTGGAAAATGTTTGGGCCCCCTTCTCGCAGGATGAAGGAGTGAGTGACTTTAAGATGCCCCCAAAATAAAAGGAAGAGAAGAAGGCAGTCATATTTCCAGGCATTCTTCAACAGACACTCAGAGAGATAGATTATGCGGGTAGTTTGTCTAAATGCAATTTATGTTTTTTTCCCCACTGTGGAATCGAAATCTCAGGAATACCCTGAATTCAGATCATTTTTCTGCTGCGGGCAATTTTAGATTAGTCTTTAAAAACATCTGTCAGTGGAAGGCAACTGATGCAGAAAAGAACACAGAGAAGGCACATCACACTTTAAATTCCTCTCAGATCCCGCTAAATGACCCCTAATGTTTGATCACATTTCCCTATCAAAACAACCCTGCAGTCCTTTGGTGCGGAAGCCTCTGAGGGTTGGAATCAAGAAGCCCTCCCCCTGGGCTGCTCTCATGTCTTCCCAGAGCATTGTCACCAAGATATTTTTAGTTCACGAAACCCAGGCTGTCCTTTCTCCCTCCGACGTCCTTTGTGTCTCTTGCCCAGCAGGCCTCCTCTGCTGCCACACGTGCTTCCATGTCTGACCGCTCAGCTGGCTCCGCGCCTGCAGATGTGCGTGCAGACCTTCCTGGAGACACTGAGCTCTGGCCAGGGGAGAGGGTGGGCCTTCATCCCCCTTGGGGTCCTAAGTTCTGTGCTAGTTTGTCTTGGTTCCCTGATAAGGCAGCTGAAATCAAGCTATTTGGGACTGACAAGCCCCTCAGCCCAAGTGCCCCCCTCCCCATTCCACCCTACAGATCTAGGCTGGGTGGGCTCTTGGCAGTTCCCTCAGTGATGAGGGAAACTTGGCTTTTCTCTGGCTCATTGTTTTCCTGCACTCAGGTCCCCGGTGTTTTTCCTTCGTCCCCTCCCAGGGTCAGCAGGTCTCCCTCCATCCCTGAACTCTCTTCCCACTTTGTTATGCTTGCTAAGACCCCTCCTGGTTTACCAGATTATCTGTAACACTCCTGCCTTTTACCTGGATTCATTCTTTCCCTTTCCATACTCACAGATATGTAAAAATCACGATTTATGTGTTTCTCTGTTACACCAATAAAGAGCAAATTTTTTAAAAAATTTGCAAGCCCTGGCCAGTGTGGCTCAGTTGGTTGGAGCACCATCCCATAATCCGAAGAAAGGTCATGGATTTGATTCCCAGGCAGGCACGTGCCTAGGTTACAGGTTTGATTCCTAGTCAGGGAGTGTACAAGAGGCAATCAATTTATGTTTGTCTTCACATCAATGTTTCTATTCCTCTCTCTCTCTCCCTCCTTCCTCTCCCACTAAAAGTAATGAAAAAAAAAAAAACTTCCTTTAAGGCCTCTACACTTTCCTTGATTCTCATCTCTTCCATTCTCCTTCCTTCCTTTCTATCCCTTCTTTTTTCTCTCCTGATTTTTCCTTTCTGCCCATTCTTTTCCTTCTGCCTGGGTTCTGGACTGAATTAATCACAAATGTGTGTGTGGAGAAATCGTATCTGAAACAAGCAAGCAAACAAATGAACAACCCAAGGCCTGTTTTGAGGTTGTTCTCTTAATGTTTATTACCAATGTCCAATGTGACACAGATGGTTCATTCCCATTGGTCTATCGCCTCCTTGAGTAATGGCTCAGAGGACTTTGAGAGCGGCCTTTTTCAAATCAGGTCAGGTCACACTACACTCCCTTTAGCCTGCCATGAGTCATACTGTGCACGGTATGAACAAAGGCCAATAAATGTTCCCTGGTCTCCAGGGCTCCAATCCTCTGGCAAACCAGATGGAAGAACTGCTCTGTCTGGGAAATTCTGCAAGTAAACTTGGAAGTATTTCTTCACTGGAATTTGACCCTGGGCCAAACAAGTTCACTCAAAACCAACTTCTATTAAACAAACTGATATTATGAAAGTTTGCATGCAGTTGGGAGTAAACAAAGAGCATTAATGAGTTTAAAGATTTTTTTTTAATCCATGACTTTCAGACACATAAGAAAACTACTCCCTGCAGAATGAAGTAAGACCTTGAGTATCTGTCGTTGAGAGTGTCTGATCCAATTTGGATCTGAGGGTCTTCCTAGCTGTAAATTTATATATTTACTCTTAAAGTTCACCTGAAAACATTCATGCTGCATGTCTAGGACTCTTCAACCCTATTGTTGACCCAAACAATGCCTTTAAAAAAAAATCCGGGCAGCTGGCTTACAGCAGCGAGCCTTGATGGCTTGGAGCTGGTGGTGTGGTTTATTAATTCCTCAGGCTGCTCACTCCTGCCCTCCCTCTGCTTCTCACTCTGCTATTTGTCTTCTTCCAGGGACACAACACCTTCATTAAATCCCTTCCGTCCTTGCCTCAGAGGCGTCCCCTGGAAGCTATCCCCTCTCTAGATGTATCACCATTTATCATCACCCTTTGTTTGTGCTCTGTCAACTAGTTTTCCATTTATTTTGAATTCAGTTTATGATTAAAATTTAATGAGATCCAATCAAGTGCCTTTCTCCAATCAGGATGCCTCAGCAGTCTCGTCCGGATCCTCTGCCCTCCCAGCGCGAGGGGAGGCCCCCACAGGTTCCCAGCCTGGCCGTTCTTTATGCAACACGGGTGGCCTGTTTTCACACCTCCTCACCTTCAAGGTGAATGGTTCAAAAACATTTGTTCCAGAAGCTTCTACAGGTTACTCGGCTCCCCCCACCCTTTTTTTCCCCACCAAATTTCTGTATAAATTAATGCTTCTGAATGAGATACAAAATGGTTAAGTGCATAAGCTCTGGTGCTGAACTGCTTGTACTTCAATCCCATCTGTGCTACTTGCTGGCCATGTGGCCTTGGAAGATTTACTTAACCTCCCTGTGCCTCAGTTTCCCCATCTGTAAGATGGGACATACAGCAGCT